GCAATAATTTAGGATCTTGTCGCATGAGAGATCAGCCTGGTCCCCTAAATTATTGTACTCTACGTGGCGAGAGCAGTAAGAACTTAGTAATGATTAACTAGACTCAATTAAATTAAATTCATGTAATTAGGCCTGATTTGCCAGAAATCCGATTACCCTGGAATTAATCCATGTTCCCTTCGTCGTTAATTAATAAGAAACCACTTTTATTTTAATCGTTCATACGCATTACTTAATTTTCAACCAATCAATCTCGCACGACGCTTTTATTTTATTTTCTTTTTATTCGCTGAATTTAGTTAATTCTTATTTCCCTTTTGGTCCGTCCCTGTGGAGACGATACTCGTACTTACATCACTATATTATGAACTATTTTAAGTGCGAGAAAACTCACATCAGACCACGACGATGAACCATGTCATGCGTGGCTGCCTTCCCTTTGACGCGACGGAGAAGGAGAGCCGTTGCATTTCCCCCCACCAGCTGCAGCTGGGTTGATGTGGCGGCGCCACGACAACGGCAAGAATGGCCGAAGTTGAGGGAACCTGCAAGGCTGCCAATCGGACGGAATGTGTGCGGCGGTAAGCTAGGGTCGGGATGCATACTGCATGCGTTCGAATATTTAAGAATTAAGGAGAATAGTGATATTTAAAAAAGGAAAAAAGTTAATTAGGAATAGCTCCGAGCTATTTAGAAATTAAATTGAAGAGAAGCTGACCTGAGCCGGTTGAACTTTGGAAAAATGCTAAGTCCGGAATATGCAACTATCCGGTACGGTGTGGGGTTAAAGCAAAGGGTTGATCAAGAACCAGGGAAAATAGCCTTCCTTTGTTTTATTTTTAGGCACTAGTGTACTCTTTTTCCTTCACTAGGATCTTTTCTCACTAGGTTTTTTCTAGTAATGTTTTGACGAGGCACCCCTCATCATGAAAAAAAGAAGAGGTCTCCCCGGCCAGAACAATGAAAACCCCGGGCTGCTAATCAGACAATCAAGACCTCAGGCTGCTACCTAGACGAAATAAATCTCATTTTTCCACAAGTAATGGGACCATAACTAACAACCGTGCGACTGTTCTTTCCCGGCATACCTGAATCGTCATTATCACCAGACAGATATGCGACTAGCTAGACTGTCTGATAGTCGTGCCGATTTCAAAGCAGCTCAACTACTCCCTCTTAGCCGAGTCTGCTACTCGACTAAAGGAGTGGGGGACTCGCGTTGGGATAATGAGTCGGGTCCAATACTAACGGCCTGTTACACCTGAGCTTGGGCCAACCAGGACCGGAATACATCCCGGCTAGTAGAAGTTGATCTAGGATTTATTTGTTGGGCCAAGCCCATTAGCCTTAATGCTTAATCTTATTAGTAAAGATAATTTTAAAAAATAGATTTTGAAAATTTAAAATGAGAGGAATTTAAGAATATTTTTTTAAAAATTAATTTATAATACATTAATAAATAAAATAAAGTCAAAGTAGAACATGTGAATAGTGCAAAAAGTCCAAATGTTGCATTTAAAAGAGAACGGAGGTAGTACTTAGAAGCTGTTCTGTTCGTCTTAATCTTATTACTTATTGCTTATTCTTATTTTATTCAGATCAGATCAGATCAGATCAGAAAAATTCAGATCAGATCAAATAAGATCAGAAAGATTCAGATCAGATCAGATCAGATCAGAATAATTCAGATCAGATCAGAAACATTCAGATCAGATCAGAAACATTCAGATCAGATCAGGAACATTCAGATCAGATCAGGAACATTCAGATCAGATCAGGAACATTCAGATCAGATCAGAAATATTCAGATCAGATCAGACCAGATCAGAATGATTCAGATCAGATCAGAAAAATTCAGATCAGATCAGAACTTAAAAAATTCAGATCAGAAACATTCAGATCAGGTGAAGAGAACAGCTTCTTAGTTTGCATGTATAGGATTAAAGCAATCTTTTTTTAAGGTACAAGTACACCAAATCCATGGGCGTGTACTTATTTTGGCCTTCAACATAGAATTTTGGTCCATCTACAAACATGCTTAGTTATTAAAAAGTAGTTTTTGATTGACTTTGAGTCGGACTATTTAATTCAACGAGCGAAGTCATGAGCATGGGTCTCCCGCAGTCCGGCTTCATGGTAGAGTCGTATACATGCCAACAATAGAGGAAGCCCCACGGCTTTGAAAATGAAGAACAACGTTAATTACTTGCTTCACCTTTTTCTTCTCAGTTGTCACAATATGGAGAGATTTTCTTTGGAAATTAAACTTTGCTGAAAAGTTAAAAGAGCGATGAATGATTCACGAATTTGGTGCAGTCTTTGACTTTGGGAAATTTTGGTCGGATTCTATTCACCAAAAATAATGAATTATATTTTCTGAGGCAGAGGTCATTAGAAGATTAGAGCAAATAATCTCATAAAAATTATACGATACATGCATCTCGATGTCACTTTACTTCAATTTATAACTAAAGAAGTCTCACTTCATTGTGATTAAATACTCCAACTAATTGTTTATGCAATACAATACTAATTTGAATATTAAATTGTTCATTCCGTATTTAATTGAGTAAGCACATACATTTTATATTGAAGAATTGAAGAAATATACTACGTATAGTATTCATTTAAGAAAACCACATTTTTTGAAAGCAAACCACATTTTATATTGCAGAATTGAAGAAATCAATACATAGTATATTCCTGTAAGCATTGAGAAAAGTACATACGTCGTATATTAAGAAATATTTCAAACTCTTATTTTTAAATGTTTCATTTTCTTATTCTTTTTAAGCATAAGAACATTTATGTAGCCTTAACTAAGAAGCTGTTCCGTTCACCTGATCTGAATGTTTCTGATCTGAATTTTTTAAGTTCTGATCTGATCTGATCTGAATTTTTCTGATCTGATCTGATCTGATCTGAATCTTTCTGATCTGATCTGATCTGATCTGAATCTTTCTGATCTGATCTGAATCTTTCTGATCTGATCTGAATGTTGCTGAACTGATCTGAATGTTGCTGATCTGATCTGATCTGATCTGAATGTTTCTGATCTGATCTGAAAGTTTCTGATCTGATCTGAATTCTTCTGATCTGAATCTTTCTGATCTGATTTGAATATTTCTATAATTGTAATTATAATTATAATTATAATTATAATTATTAGATTTATAATTGTAATTAAAAATATAACTTAAATAAAATTACAATTATAATCATAATTATAAAAAAAATTAAAATTAAATTTAAAATTATAATAATTATACTAATTACACTAATTATAAGTACAGATACAATTATAAATGTAATTATATTTTTAATTATGATTAATTTTATAATTATTATTTTAATTATAATTATAATATTTATTTCTATAATCATAATTATATCTATAATTACTAATTTAAATATATAATTACTCCGAAGTAATAATAATTACAACAATAACAACAAGAACAACAATCATATTAATAATAATGATGATTATAATTATAATTACATTGTAAATCATAATTATAATTATAATTATAAATATATTATATTATATTATATTATATTATATTATATTATATTATATTATATTATATTATATTATATTATATTATATTATATTATATTATATTATATTATATTATATTATATTATATTATATTATATTATATTATATTATATTATATTATATTATATTATATTATATTATATTATATTATATTATATTATATTATATTATATTATATTATATTATATTATATTATATTATATTATATTATATTATATTATATTATATTATATTATATTATAATAATAATTTTATATTATTAACATTATTATTATATTATTAATAATATTATTATATTAATATATTAATATTATTAACAATAATTATAATATAATAATCATAATTAATATATTAATAAAAGTGATAAATCATGTTTGAATTTTTTGATCTGATCTGATCTGATCTGAATGTTTCTGATCTGATCTGAATGTTTCTGATCTGGTCTGATCTGGTCTGAATCTTTCTGATCTGATCTGAATGTTGCTGATCTGATCTGAATCTTTCTGATCTGATCTGAATGTTTCTGATCTGATCTGATCTGATCTGAATCTTTCTGATCTGATCTGATCTGATCTGAATCTTTCTGATCTGATCTGATCTGATCTGAATAAAATAAGATTAAGGAATAAGTAATAAGATTAAGACGAACGGAACAGCTTCTAAATTTGCTACATATTGTTAGGAATTTTTATTGTCATGATTTGACTATATATACGAAGTATAATGCTACATACCACACGTTTTAGTCCGTAATATACAAAGTATATACTTTATTCACGCGTGAATACTTTCATACCCATAGTTCATTACTCACTTCATTTCATCTCCGGCTCTCTTACTACTCCGTATATTCCATATTTTACTCTTGTACTCGATCTTGTTTCCTTTTAATTGTAACAGTCAACATTTCACGTTTGTCAACACACAAATTTGACCATTAATATCTTTAATTCCTTATTAGTAAAAATTAAAAAAAATCATATTTTAAAAATTTAGAATGAGAAGAATTTAACAATATTTTTTAAAAAAATAATTTATAATACATTAATTAATAAAATATAGTGTAAAAAGTCTAATGTTGCAATTAAAAGAGAACAGAGGTAAGTCAGGTAACCTTAGTTCATTACTCACTTCATTTCATCTCCGGCTCTCTTACTACTCCGTATATTCCATATTTTACTCTTGTACTCGATCTTGTTCAATAGAATCACTATTTCTAAAATATTATTTTTAATTTAATGAAAATCCTGGAGGGTCAATTGTAAACTTGACTACTTGAGGGAGCGGAGTAAATTTATGTTATATTTATAATTTGTTGAACTTTTATGAAATACTATTAATTACAGATAAGAAATATGAAAAACATCAATTTAATGTATTTTTATTAATTTAGGACATATATGCTAGCTTAGCTGCGCGCGCTTCTCCCAGAACCAACCCGGAAAGTGACCCCAAGGATCTTAATTAAGCCATACATACAGCTAGAGTATTATATAATTATATATAACGCAAAGTTGAGCATGCAGCAAAGTTAAACGCTACACAAAAACTGATCATCAAGCTTGGCTTAGGGGCGGGGTGGAGATGATAACGGCGGGGTATCGTCTCAGCCAGGCCATGGTCGTCCATGTTAGTTCCAGATCGCCTGTACAGGCATACAAGAGGTGCGATCACCTCATAATGGGTGGAGGTGATGCGGCAGGGATGAGAAGTGATGAGTTTTCTAGCAAAAACAGCACAGAGATGAGCTACAACAGTGATGATGATGACCACCACCAGTTCACTCTGCCTGCCGCGGCACGAGATGATGATGGGTCAGAATCCACCATCAGCTGCAGCAGCCGCGGCAGTGCCGAGACAAGAGTGCTGGTGGTGGTCGATGGGAGCAATGAGGCCAAAGCTGCTCTGCAATGGGCACTTTCTCATTCTGTTCATACCAAGCACGACACACTTATCCTTTTGCTCGTAACCAAGCCCTTCAAACAAGGTACTATGTCGGACAAAGTACACAAATAAGTTTAACGTATTTAAATCTAATTAAAATAAGATCGACAACCAAATTAAAACATAATTACTTTCTATATATATTTGCTGTAACGTACACTTTCTTTATGTTGCATGTGTTTATGTTTCTCTTATTTTGTCGAATTCCCATTTAGCTTATAGACATTAATAAACAAAAATTTACATATTCTCTCAAGTGCAAAACACTCAACAAATTCTATAGGATTGCAGTTAAAAGCCGAACTGGAGATATATAAAGTAGTGACTTCAATTCTACGTTTTAGCTATTATCTAAACCAACTAGTGTTATATATATATATTACCCTCATTTTGAGATAGATGGAGTAAATTCATAATAATATGCGAACAAAATTAAAGCTAATTAAGGCTGGGTATTTGGATCAGGTGGATCGGGAAGTTCCTGCAACTGTGAGCTGGACCAAACGGCATATGATCTTCTTTGCTCCTTGAAACATACTTGTCAAACAAGGAGACCCGGGGTTAGTATATATTCCGGTCAATTTTTTTTCTAAATAGTAGGGAGTATTAAAACATAGATAAAATGCACTAATAGATTATCATGGTTTTGTTAAAATAGGATCGGTATCTTTTAGCTAAAAATGAAAAATTAGAAAATTACTACGGAGTATATCTTTTGTCATTTCGCAATGCATTTTGCATTTTAAAAAAAGTTAAAATAAATGACTTTGTCTCACAAAATTTGGGGGCTAGTTTCTTTATTTTGTCATTTCAAAAATATTAGTTTCTTTATTTTACTTTATTATTGCTCAGTTAAATTTGACCAGATTTTATAAGACGGATGAAGCATACTTTACAAATTATTCTAGTTTAATAGTTTCAAGATTAAATAGTTCACATTATTAAAGAAAATATGTCTAAAAAGCGGATACCATCAAAATTCTACTTGGCTAATTTGACTGTCCCTCATAGTTACATGATTAAAAATGGAGGATCCATATATCAATAACACCAAGTAGTATATATTAAGAATAGAAAAATACTTTTTTAGAAATTCTTGCTAAGATATTTATTGGGAGTAAACTACTCTTTAGATATTAATATTACATCACTATATTGAAGAAGATGATTAAGAAAATTGCACGGGGCACATGTAGTGGTCCAACTATATATATCTCAATCCACATGTAGCGGCCCATTTATGTAATTGTCCGTTTCGCAAAGTCCAATGGTCCTCCAAATTAAAGTCCAACTAATGTCACTAGACTCACTACGCACATCTGAATATTTTTATGGGGGTAGAAATAGTAACAGTACTTGATATGCAAACAACTATCCATGCCAAAATGATATTTTGGACTTCAATCGATTACAGAAAAAGTTTCACAAGAAAAAAACAAAAAGTAGCTCGCATGCTTTTTGATATAGAATATTCCAGTTTTTTCCTGAATTAATGATAATTAAATAAATAATTACAAAAAATAGGATTGAGATAAAAATAATCCTCAAAATGTTGTTGGATGTAACCCTAGTTAAACAAAGCCGTCACTTCAAATGGAGATTTACTTGAATAAAAATGTGAAAGATAATAAAAAATGACAAAAGTAGTGTTATAGGATTAAAATTGAGAACCAAAATTAAAGTAGGATATTAAAATTTTATTATGATATAAAAAGTTTCAAAGATGGGTACTTTTTTATGTCACTAAAAGTAGGATACTAAAAATTTCAAAGATGGGTATCAAAAGTACCCAATTTTCAAAGATGGGCAGAACAAATCACAAGTTTGAAAAAAAATGAACTAATAAGTCGAAAGTAGTGATTACCAAATAGGACATTATTCTTTTTTAGAAAAGGAGGGGCTGGGTGTTTTTAACCGATCATGAGTCTAGAAATGATTTGCACTTTTACTTTTCTTATTCAGAATGAGTGAACAATTTTTTTTCTCTTATTGAGAAATGATGTTTTCATGATACATTAGAAATTTCAATGTAGTGTAAGTAAGTTTTGATTAACAAAATTGATTAAAATATCATCCATTAAGCATACAAACTAAATCGCAATAAGTTGTAAATCAATTTGGGACCGAACTACTGCTATAAAATAAAGGCCGGTATTCATATTTGTGCACTTGACACATGTTTTCACTTTAGCAACGTACTTCCTTATCCTACAAAGTTGTGATGGATATTGGACAATGTAGGTGCAAGTGGAGATAGTAGTAGAAGAAGGAAAGGAGAAAGGCGCGATAATCGTTGAATCAGCTAAGCAGCAGAGGGCTTCTCTACTGGTTTTGGGGCAGAGGAAAAGATCGGTGATGTGGCACATGCGAACTATGCTGTCCGGGAAACAGTCAAATGTGGTCAACTACTGCATCCACAACGCCCACTGCATGACTATCGCTGTGAGGAGGAAATGCAAGAAACACGGCGGCTACCTCATCACCACCAAGAGTCATAAGAATTTCTGGCTTTTAGCTTAATATATATTTAATCCATCACAGATTCATTTCTTGCTCTAACCTTTTATTCAATAATTTATTTTATTACTCCGTAGTTTATTGAAAAATTACAATATGAAATGTATTACTAGTAAGGTATAATTATACATATATGATCAAAGTAAATGATGTTTACAAAATGTGACGTCCTATGTGTAGTGATTATTGTTAGGAGGCTTCTCTTCCAGCTCAGGTCTCCGATTTCATCCACAAAGGATGAATTTCACCACCAAGGTCAACTAGGGGAGAAGGGACGTCAGCCTACAAGCTTCTTCCGGCCAAATCCCGTCTAGCGAACAACCCACAGAGGAAAGGTGAAGGACAGAGTTCAAGGGTTGAGTAGTGTTAGGACAGCCTCAAATTGCAGACGTGAGGAGAATATATAGGTCAAGCACAGATGCCAGAGATGGTAAAACTTACCATTACAAGATGATACGCCAATGCTTCGAAGAAGGAAGGAAATAATCGTGAAGGGAGAAAGCCGTTCAAAAGTAATCGGTGCAAATGGATTAAAGAAATGGACCGGGTACTTCTCAACGCAATTGGGCCTAGGGAAAAGAGCTTGGGCCAATACTGTACCAACACATTCTCCACCTTATTGGATCCTAGTGGTGTAGAGTCAAAACTCTAAAACATACATGAGACTCATCATCGCTGGATTGCCCGAATGATCACAAAGACACATTCAGGCAAAAAGGGTAAGATCACCAGGCAACTTATCCGCAATCAATGTTGAACGTGAGCTTGCACGACAACAAATTTTCGACAAAGAGACATTCAGTCCCCATGTTAGCAGGATTAAATTCAGATGAAATATTAATCAACTTGATATGACCTGCACTAACAATCAACATATCATCCACATATAACAATAAAAATACAGGCACATAAGAAGTATTTTTAAGAGATATTACCCTACATATGAGTAAAACTTCATCTTTTTTCCAATCTGTGACCATATTAGTTTTTTTCCAAAAATATAATATAAATTCATACTATTTAATTAATTTATTAATAAATAAATGAGTAAATAATTTTTATGGACTAATATGCCCTTAAGATGTCATTATAAAACCCTAAACTCCTAATTCTTTTTTCCAACCCAAAGCTTCCCTCTCATCTCCCGCAGTCCAGCCGCCCACCTACCAACTGCCGCCTGCCGCACGCTGCCCGCCGCCCAGCCGCCGCTCTCCGTCCAGTCTCACCCGCCGTCCGCTCGCCTGCCTGCTGTTTGTCATCTCGCCAGGTTTGAATGATTTAACGGAGGTAGTAGATAAATTGTGTTTGAATTCGAAGAGGAAGAAGCTAAGGACGAGGCTAGATGGCACAGAAGACTTCGATAACGGCGTTCAAGAAGTGGCAGCACCCGGCAGCTCTGCTTTCCTTCGATCTGGCTCTGTTTGTGAAGTTTGTTTCTTCTGGTAGATGATATAGATCTGAGTGACGCCGCCCAAATCTATTATCTTTCACTCTGTTTTAGGTTTCTGTTCTTCGTTCTAGGCTACTGTTTTAGTCTACTGTACATCCGAATTTATCTTTGCACAATTGCCATTCGTAAATCGCAGCATCATAAAGAAGAAGACCCTTTTTGAGGAGCTCATCAAGGGATTTGTAAGGCTCTTCTTATGGTGAAGATGGGTGTGGCACTGATATTACGTGCATGAAGCTGGGTCATGGTTGTGCTTTGGATCCGCCCATTCACTTTTCTAATTTTGAAAATTGGAATTTCTAAAATTAGGGTTTGTGGGCATTAAATATAGGCATTGAATATGGGTAGTGAATATTGCTGCGTATGCCAGTGAATATGGCAATATATATATTGTACATGCAGTGAATGAATGCATTGAGAAAGTTTTTTGTGTAATGATTATGACCGGTAGTGCAATATAATTAGACCTAAAATAATAAAATTATTAAATCTGAAAAATAAAAAATAAAAAATAAAAATAATTTTGTAAAGTGAATGAGAAGAGAATTAAATTTGGCGGAAGTGCAGTGATTATTACCGGACATGCAGTAATGTCGTGCATTAATATATTGCAGTGAGACAATATAAAGTGCAGTAATTTTAATGGACGAAATCAGTGCAAAATGCACATATTTTAAATAAGGGTGTTTTCGTCATTCAACATTTAAATATAAACAAAATATTCTTTTTTTTTCGATTTTCGGTCATACAAGTGTCAAAAAACTAAGTTAGTCATAGATTGGAAAACTCAATGAGTTTTAGTAATATCCCGGGAAATTTCCCTATTTTTAAAGTATAGGCAATGGTCGCATTTGGACTTGTGAAATTTCAAAGATGACATGCACTGGTCAAATTTGATATTCTACTGCCTCGGGGACTGCTTCAGGCTGTACAAAGCCTTTCTAAGCAAACACACATGATCACTCTTCATGGGATCCACAAATTAAAGCCCTCAGGCTGTGACTTATAGAATTTCTTATCTAAATCACCATGCAAGAAAGCAGTGGTGATGTCCATTTGCTTCATTTCCCAATCATTATGAGCAACAAGAGCAGACATCATTATAATCGTAGTAAATTTAACTATAGGAGCAAAGATTTCAGCATAATCAACACCTTCCTTTTGAGTAAATCCCTTATCTACTAGCCTAGCCTTATATCTAATGTCGTTAGGCTCTTCCTTAACCTTAAATAGCCACTTACATGCAACAACGGAACTATTGGGCGGTCTACGAACTAACGTCCAAGTCTTATTCACTCTAAGTGACTCCATCTCACTTTGCATGGCGCAAAGCCATTTAGCGGACTCATTAGACTTAAGGGACTCTCTATAGGTTCTAGGTTTGTTAAGCTCAAGGGTCTCAAACACAGAGAAAACAAACATAGAAGTATCACACATATGGAAAGCATAATCAGGCATACTATCAGCAGTTCTCCTAATTACTCTCCTACTTCTATCTCTAGCAAGTTGATAATCATGCAAATCATTCTCACTAGAATCGTCACTCTCATCATGTGATTCATTGTCCTTTGAATGCACATGAGAATGCTCCACCTCACTCGAAGTGGTGGTAGTATCATGCTCACAAGAATCAGAATCATGCAATTCAGAAGAATCAGAATCATGCAAAACAACATTATCATGATTAGCAAACAAAGGACTTGCAACAATAGGTATGGACTCCACCTCAACGGGTGTACTACTAGGGCTAGACTCAGAATCAAGAACTAATTTAGCCAGACAAGGAAACTCGGATTCATTGATAATAACGTTTCTACTTACCACAACTTTGAAACCTACCCGGTTCCTATCCCAAACCCTGTACCCCTTAACACCCTCAAGATAACCTAAGAAAACTCCTTTCTTAGACCTAGGATCCAACTTGTCACCTTGTTGGTGCACATACACTGCACACCCAAACACTCTAAGATTAGACAAATCAAGGGGTTTGTTTGAAAAACAGATTCAGGTCACTTTCCACCCAAGGGAATAGAAGCAGACCGATTGATCAAGTAGACATCAGTGTTAACTGCTTCACCCCAAAACTTTTTGGACAAACCGTCGGTAGTAAGCATATTCCTAACCTTATCTAGAATAGTCCTATTCATTCTCCTAGCTATCCCATTTTGTTGGGGAGTATAGGGCATAATTTTGTGCCTTCTAATCGCACAATCAACACACAGTTAGTCCATATCCTTATTACAAAACTCTAGACCATTATCTGTCCTAAAGGTTTTGACCTTCTTACCAGTTTGATTTTCTACAAGGTTTTTCCACTCCCTAAACTTCACAAAGACATCGGACTTATGCTCAAGGAGACGGACCCACACCTTCCTAGAAAAATTATCAATGATGGACAGAAAATATCTCACTACTAGAAAACTGTCTTACAGTGACACTTCTTTAGTGACATTATAACATCGCTATAGTTTTTATTGACACATATATGTCACTATTTTTAACAAAATAGTATGTGTATGGGACAGTGACGCTTACAGATGTACGGAGTACTACATATTCCCATTTTAACCCCTTCCCTTCTTATTCAACCACATATCAAGCAATTCTCAAATACAAAGAACCCTAGCCATAAGCCCCTTTTCATTTCTCGACCACTATCATCTACACCATCAAGCTATTCTCATCCACTTAGAACACTGATTCTTCGGCGATTCTCGTCACAAACGGTCCAGGTTATCGGTGAAGCAGATGAATGGCAGCGGGAAACTCCAACAATGAGGAAGTGTTGAAGTGGAAGCAACATTATCTATCAAAGAGGTTCTCTCTTTTCAGTCATGGAGGTCTTCCTCCCTTTTTACGCTACACATCTTCCGGTGCATCGAGATCTGGCGAAGGTATGGTTCCTCTCAACGTTTCGACCTCTTGACCTCGTCAATATATACAAACCCTACAATTTATTTTGTTTATATCTTAGAAATCTCTAGCAGGTATGAATGCACGATTTTTGATTTGTTTCATCATCATCTTCGTATACCCTCACCTTTCAGACTTTCTACTAATTGGCGAAGGTTCACAGGTTAATTGTTACGATTTGTGCGCTCAAAGCACTAACTGTTTGTTTCTTTATTTTTCAGAGATCTTGTGGAAATGTTATGTTGTAATTTCTAGTTCTTTCTGCCATTTTAAAAACATTTATGGTTTGCTCTACAGTAAAGTCAATTTTTTTCCTTAATCTTTGTGAAGTCAAACTGTAAAGGAGAATCAAAATCGGAGGGAGAATTAAATTGCACATGCCCTTGTTTAATTGCATGAATTTATTAGAACAAAGAACCAGTTTTTGACTACATTTTTTGTCCCGAGTGGTTGTAAGTCACCAAAAGTCTTTTTAAATGTTACAATAGTATGCATGAGATTATTATTTTTAGAATAATATTGTGTTACTAATAATATATTGTCAGATATAAGTAAAATGAGTGTTACACATACATTTTTTATTTTGGATTCCGTTTACATCATGGAATGGTACACCTTGAAATTTTACAGAATAACATAAATGAATTATACTGAAAAAAGTCTTTGTAAATGGTACGCCTTGGATTTTTTTCTAACTACACCACTTGACCGAGAGAGTTTTTTCCTAGTTTAATGCTAAATAAAAGATTATTTGCCAAATTGAGGTATGGTTAAACATATTTTCCAATCTACTGCTACAATGAACTCTAGTTAGTAGTAGTGTAGAACCGCCAACTTCTGTATGTAGCAATGCGGCGCACAAGAGGGAGAAAATAGCTTGGGTCCCACAAATAAAAAAAACTTATTTGTATAAAGTGTTATAACTTTTTTATTTGTACTCTGATTGTTACAAAAAATATGCGCAGTTAAATCCAAGAATTAATGCGCAGTTATCTTCAAGAATTAGTTTGAATGTGTTCCCCATTGAAGTTTTAGCTGAAATTTGGTATGAGTAAACTAGACTTGATGAATAAGATGCTCAAAAATTTTCATCAAAAAATCCCACCGGGAACCGCCCCAAATCGCGACAACCGGAGAGAGTCTTTTAAATAAGAACTTATTTGACCTTTTTATGAAAGTTCGAGGACCTATTTAACAGTTTTCCCTTATTCTTGAAAAAAACTTTGACCCAACTACTGCCAATTAATTTAGAGAATACAGAGTATTATTTTATTTTTTTGAGAGAATAAAATGGGAAATTCCTTGTAATATATCGAGCTCATCCTTGAGAGATTAGATTAAGAATTTAAGAGACTAGATGATTACCAATTCAGAAAATCTCACAGGTTCACTTCGATCATTTGTATTCGAGTCGTGCTTTTCAGAGATTAGGTACACACTCCTCTTAGACACTAATACACACTATGGGGGTGTTTGGATCTGATTCTCAAAACTGATTCTGCTCCTTCAGGGAGCAGAA